TTTATTATCGAATAAAGTTAACGAGATTAATGAAAGTTATATGGAAATTTGCTTATCAAAACATTCAAAATTAATAAATAATGACAATCTAGAGATATTGCGCATGACATACTTGCCGGATCGATACGATATTTTTAAGACAATTATGCTTAGAAAATTTTAATTAGAAATTAAAATAGAGCAACATAAATTAACTGAGTTTAACTAGGTGACAATAGGCTCATTAATTACTGTTGATTAAATAAAATACAAAAATATATAATCAGTTTATTAAAGTAAATTTTGGGTTGCCTAATAGTTAATGTTAATAAAAATATAGATAAATATTTGACGTTTCAATTCAAATATTTCTAACCTACGTATTTAGTAAATAAACAGAATTAACGGCGGAAAGAATTAGTTTATATATTTGGGCTAAAATAAATATTAAATTGTATTAAATTGAACTAGTATTGCGCTGCAAAAAAAAGTGTTCTTAATTGTGAAATATGTTTAGTTAAAAATAAGAATGGAATAATTACTTTTGTTGACATGTAAGTACTATTTATTTATTCTTGGTTTATTGAATTGAACTGATCGATATTTCAGGCTAATAATAATAATATCAACTAGCGTTAAATTATTGAGAAAAATAAATAAAATAGTCTAGTGAAATTTAGGCACCTTACACACTTCTTTAAATTTTAAACCATGTTGTTAGCGCACTTTTAAAAATTCTGTGCATTTTTGTAGTCTGCCTTCATCAAAAACAATAACTTTGTCACTAGTAACTTTTTTACAAACTACACAACTTAAATGTTTTTTATCCATTGTAATTTAGTAGTTAGTAGCGAAATTAGTAGTTACTAAAATATTTATTTGCAGTAATTATTCTAAACTATTTACACTATGTACGTCAATATTTAATTTATAAATACATATTTGTACATGGTAACTTAATTCCAACAAAATAATTTCTGAATTAAAAGCCTGCAAATAATTGAAATGAAACCGAAAAAAAATTGTTTTTATGAAAATTTGAAGTACATACTCCAAAATACTGTTACGTCAGCCGCATCGACTGCCGACGGGTCTCAATAAACTATCTTTCTCGCGCTTATAGATACACATAAGACTTTTTTGTCGCGCTCATTTAAAATCTTTATTCGCGTCTGGCAAGTATTAAATCCCATTGAATTCGTCTGGCAATTAACACATATTTTTTAATATCATCTAATAAACACGCTGTAAAAATTTTAGAATGCCTAAAGTATGTTTTCCAGGTATAATAATTAAACATATTTGGAATGGTCTGGTTACACTTTAAACCCGAAAAAAAAGTCTGGCACACTTATTTCTAGGTTAAATAGATGCTAAAATTTAACAATAAACAAATTTCAAGTTGTCTAAAGAATGTTTTTTGGATTTATTTTTTTGCAAATGTTATGGGTTGCGCAGTAGCGAAATACCCCCAACCCCCCAGCCACACTTAGGATTCTGGGTTTACAACTTATTAAACTTTTTTTTTTTGTTATTCTAACTTGCCTAAAATATGTTCTCTAAATATGTCGCCAGCTCTCCGGCTATAAGCTTCATTCAGAACCTCGCAATTAGTGGAATAAATTAGTGGCGTGTAATAAATTAGTATTCGAATGAGCGTAGAAGCAAAGAGTAGATAAGACAAGAGACGACAGTTCGCGCGGTACCTTTCATGTTTGAGTGGTGGGGAGAGTGACCTTGTCTCGCTTGTCCCTTTAAATTTTCGTAATTTTTTCGCGGGAAATTTGAAATAGACTATTATTAAAACTTGCCTGTATAGATTATAAATAGTTACTGTATGGGTAAAGAAATAAATAGAAACGAAAAAAAAATTAGTTTTCTAAATATTATATAAAATAAATTATAATTAGAAACATATTTGTCGGGAATAAAGATAATAAAAGCAATATTTTGTATATCGTTGGTAAACAAGATAAAATGACCAAGTCGATTTGTAAGAAATGTTTTATTTGCGTGTATTTTTTTTACATATGGACTTGAACAAGTGTAAAATCACAGTGTGGAGTTTATGTACAAAAAAATAGAGTTGCTCAATTTTTTTTTAAATGTATTACAAGCTTCTAACCATGTCTTCGATCTATGGATTACATTTAGTTTAATAACATAATTATATAGTATATTTCTATAAAAATACTTTTCAGGATCCTTTGGAAAAGAGTGAAATATTATGTTTGTCGAAGAATAAGACCTATTTTTGCAGTCTTTATTTTTATTCTTTTTTTTTAGCACACACATTGCCATCACCTCGTCTTTTCCTGCTACTCGTGTCCTGTTCAATATTCATATTTAACAATATTTACAAATTAGTACGCGACAAAAACGATACTAAAATTAAACCTTAAAAGCTCTCAAAACGATAATATGTCGAAAAACTCTGAAAACAAACTTTAAAAAGGCAAAAATGCAAGAAAACAACTAATCAGATTTGTTTATGTTTAAGCCTGATTAGCACAGCTGATTAGCGTCAAAATCATAGGTTAGATTCTTGTTAGATTAGATAAAATACGCCGTTGTTAGATTTTGAGATTTTATCTGTTTATCTTTGAAATCGATCAACTTATTAGTCATTCTGTTTCTTTGAAATTATCAGTACATTGCGAAAAAAGAACCTAAACCAACCTAAACTAAAAATTTACATTTCAGTATTAACATACGTTACTTATATCCTTCTTATAATTTTAATTTATTTTCAGAAAATCTTGTTTATTTTTCAAAGAAATATACTTGGCAACAGACAAAATGGGACTTGAGGGGACATTTAAATTTTAATATATCTGCGTCTCTCTCGCGAAATTCGACTTCTTTGTTCACTGTCGTCTCTTGTCGTCACTGTACTCTTTGGTAGAAGTTTGTTCCTTTAATTTCAATGTAAGCATTCAGAACGTCAAAATTAGTGGTAGACATTTTCAATTAGTAGAAAAAGTTATCAAACTTTTAACATTTCCACTAATTATAGTGCTAAAAACAGGGCCGGATCTACCTACGGGCTGTTTGGGCTGCAGCCCAGGGCCCCGAGGTTACAAGGGGCCCCCAGGCCCCGCGAAAAACAATAGACCCATAGGTGGGAACTGTTGAATCGTGAAATAAAATTAAAATTCAGGTTAAAAGTTTAAGCCAGACAAGATGGCCTTGCCACTATGATGCTGTCAAAGCCTTAAAAAATAATTATGATGACATTATGAAAATTTTCAAAAGTTTCAGCGAAAATGAGGTTGAGAAAGTTGATTTCCGGAAAGAGGCACGAAATTTATTCAATAAAATGGCGAAACTCGAGACTGCAATTTTGATTATCTTTTGGGAAGAAGTTTTGGAGAGATTTCATTTAGTTAATAAAAAAATACAGAGCCCTGGTTTAGACATTTGTGAAGGCAACAAGTTAATTGTTTCTTTAAAAGACTTTGTGAGCAACATACGACATCAATCAGATCAAATGTTACAGGAATACGACGAAAAAGCTAAAAAATTAAGTACTAGTGTAATAATAGACTACAATTACATAAACAAGAGACGCATTATCCCAAAATTTTCAGATAAGTCTACAGGTGAATTCTCAGTATACGGCGCAGAAAGATTTAAAGAGACACGTTAAAAGTTGCGTTGGATAAGCTGATTATGGATTTAAATAAAAGGAGACAAGTCTATGAGACATATAGCAAAAAATTCAAATTTTTAATGGATTTGCAAGACAAAAATATCGAAAACATAGATTTGGAAATTGCACGTCATATTATTGATTACTATCCCGATGACGTAGACGAGCATTTAGTGAATGAGTGCATTCAATTAAAATCGTACTTACTCCAATCTATGTCTGAGTCTTACACCTCTTGCAGTGACATTTTTATGCTCATGTATGAAAATAAACTTATTAACATGTTCCCTAACTGCTATACCATTTTAAAGATTTTTTTAACATTGCCAATCACTAGCTGTGAAGCAGAACGCTCCTTCTCCAAGATGTCCTATGTAGAAAATAAATATAGGACAACAATGTCGAACCATCGACTAAATAATTTATCACTTCTTTCCATAAATTGTGATTTAACAAAAGACCATCAAAAGACTTGGAATGTGATGACCAAATAACTGTCAATTTCTGTGACTACAACCTATCAATTTCTTTTACTAATTCATAATAAGTAAATAAATAAAATTGTTTTATTGTTTTTTTTATATTCTTATTAAATATCACTATTTCGGTTTCTCTCTCACCCAAAGTTTGCCTGGAAGAGATTGCTACCACAGCAATAAGGTCGCCTTTTGTACAACTAATACTTGCGTAGATTTAAGTAACATTTATGTTACTTAAATCCACATATCACAAATACCGAAGTCTACAGCAGAATAGGCAGAAAAAGAGAATTGCTCAATATAATAAAAATAAGAAAAACATCATACTTAGGGCATATATTGAGAAATGAAAAATACCACGTCTTACAATTGATAGTTAAGGGTAAGATTGAAGGAAAGAGAGGTCTCGGCAGGAAGAAACTATCTTGGTTGAGAAACATCAGAAACTGGACTCACCTAATTTTGAAGAACTTATAAGGAAAGCCGAGAATCGTGAAGATTTTGCCAATGTGATCGCCAACCTCCACGAAAGAGACGGCACGTAAAGAAGAAGAATAATAATATATCATTATAGAAACAGTTTTTTGATATGGCTATTAGTTGAGTACTTATGTAGGCCCCTAAGTAGTTTCAGCCCAGGGCCCCACAAATTCACGATCCGCCCCTGGCTAAAAAATAAATGTTTTCGTCCAAAAAAAATATTTAATAAATATCAATTTTTCAATCCGCTTTCCAAAAAATTTACAATGCCCTAGCTTATATGGAGTGATTTACCCTTTGTAGATTAAATTTTCGGCATATTTAAGACTCCTTCAAAACAGGAATCCTGATATATAATAGAGCGTTTTAAAAAACAGTAGGCTACCCTGTATTTAAAAAAAAATACTTACATCAAACACACTGAATGCAAAGACACTAATAACCGCTGCAAATCCAGTAATAATCATTATAAAATTAGGTCGGGTCATAAGTATCTACAAATTAACAGTATATAATATTAATAATGTTCTCCCTACACAAATTATAATAATCCTACTTCAACTGGTAAAACTTCACTGATCCCAAGTGATATCAGGCCACTAACTACAGGTATTAGAAGTCTTGTTATCCACAAAACTAATTTGGAAATAACATTTAAAGCAATGACATTTCCCAGATGTTCCTTTAATAATGTGGCAGCCTTTTTCCCGGATGAAATAAACGGATCACCATGGATTGCTAAAAAACGCAAAACGTTATAGTTGCCATAGAGATAATTCGCCCATTTCATTCATAGATAAATGCAACAAGTTTAGATAGGAAAGCCCGTAAAAATTTTAGGTCGCGAAATTATTTTGGGTCGCGACCGTTATACGCGATCTGGCGCTGCTATAGCGGTCGCTAAGAACAACGGCAAACAAAAACAGAAATAATTTTCTCTTGTCAAAGTCAGAATCTTCAAAAATCATAATAATCTTTCAAAATCTAAACCGCTCTCATTAAAGAAATTCCGAAAAGTGTTTATAACGTACATTTTCAAAGTAATTATTGCTATCTTGTGAGTTTAATTCAAGTTTTATTTACTCCAACCGGTGATAATTGTGAAAAAGTGGCATTAAAAACTTAAAAAGCTGTGCTGTGAACTGTGAACTGTGAACTGCAAAAACCATCGTGGATCATGGCATAACGTCGGTTTCCAGTGTTTCATAGGTATTTCATACATGCGTCCTTATATAAAATAAAAAGTTTCTTGTATGCAACACACTGTATTTTATTTAAAAAATTAAACGAAAATAATAATAAATTTGAATAAACAATATTTGGCGATATAATTCCGGAAAAAGCCGAACCGCTCCGAAATTTTCAAAAGTTTTGGGTCGCGACCGTTGCAAGAATAGCGCCAAATAGTATTTACATTGTCCTTATGGGCACTTTCCAATCTAAACTTGTTTCATTTATCTATGATTTCATTCTTTAAAATGAAATGGGTGTTAAGGTCATTTAAAGAACAAAAAAAAACAACGCTTTATTGTACAAAAAGCCAAAACAGCTTCATCGACAAAGCATTCACAAAACAAAAAAGCACAAAAACAAATATACAAATAATAAAAAAAAAATGTCATTCAATACAAATCAATTCAAAAAAAATTACGTCATAAAATTACAAATAAAACATATATGGACATTGCAGAACACAGGCGTATCTAGAAAATTTTACAAAAGGAAAACCGTAAAAGGATAAAATCATGTTATATATCATAAAATCAAGAGTTATAAAATATTAAATATTAAATACTAGACCTTTAACCAGTGTGTGAGATGATCAAAATTTTACATTTTTATCAACAAAAAAGTCGTTTACCGCATATAGGGCCCCCTCCAGTAAGTATGATTTCAGAGCTTTGCAAAATGCGAGAAAGAATGAAAGTCACTTGATATTCGAAGGCAAATGATTGTACATTTTCTTGGCATTGTACAGTATTGAGCCCTTAACTAGTTCTGAGCTCGGGGTTGGCAGATAAATATCCTGCTCCGCATTGTGAGAAGGCCTCTCCGGAATAGAGAATATGTGCTTGCGGATTAAGCAAACGGATTCAAAAATGAATAAGGAAGGAAGAGTCAGTATTTTGAAATTTTTAAAGAAATTCTGGCAGTGAGTTCTACTGTTTAGTTCCAATAAGTACCGAACTGCTCTCTTTTGAAGTTTGAAAATACGATCAAATTTAGTCGCGCAGCAAGTACCCCAGAATGGAAGGGCATAACGAAGATGCGACTCAAAAAGGGCATAATAGACCATTCTAGAGGTTGATGAGTTAAGTTCCTTAGAAACTGATCTTAGCGCAAAACAGGCAGAGCTTAGTTTCTTTGATAAGGCTTCGATGTGCAAGTCCCATTTTAACGAGTTGTCTACAACAAGTCCTAAGAAATACTCTCAAAACATGTCAAGAATCTTGTCCTGACTGAAATACGTAAAATTGATCGAAATGACAAACAAAAATTGAATACTTTGAACAACAATGGTGAATACGTAAAAAGAAAAACAAAAGAACAATCTTATTACATGTTTTAAGAGGACTCTGTCTGTGAATCCTCTGTTGCAAGTAACGGCAACATGGGGTCTACTGACAGTACCGCTGGTTGGAAACACTGCAATTTTTAAATAATAAAGATATTCTCTGATTTACGTGATTCATGTTCATAATTATTATTAATGAAATAATTATTACTATGGAATAAGCTAAATAACTTTAAAAATTAAAGATAAAAATTCTTTCAAAAAGTATTTAGAAAATAAGTATTTTATTCTAGTATTTCAAATACCCTTTTCAAAAGTATTTTGTAACTGATATCTCAAATACTTTGCTTAGAAGGTACATCTCTGTCCTTATGGGATTCATATACAAGGTGGTAACAATTTCGATGCTCAACATTGGTATCTCAGAAACTACGAGAGATACGAATTCGGTGAAATGTGAAGAATATAGGAGAACAGAAATGAACTTTACGAAAGATACTCAAAAGTCACAGAAGAACTTTATGCGCAAATTGTTTAAAAAATTATTTTTTACGCGTAAAAATCTATTTGTGACACGTAAAAAAATTGTCTTACATACAAAAAACTATTGTTTACGTGTAAAAATCCATTTGTTACACGTAAAAAATTACTTTTTAATTTATTACTTTTTCAACATTTCAAACTTCACTTTTTCAAATTTTTCAATTTAATAGCTGTTAGTAAGAAGTTTTACTTCAAATATGTGCACACAGTGCACACACAACTTTTTTCATATTGTACTATTGGTGGATATAACAGCCTATTCATCACTAGCCTGCCTTGAAAGACCCTTAAATAAATACATTTTCGAAAAGCTGTACCTACCGCATATAATATAAGCGTTCCTGGTTAAAAATGACACTATCCTTTCTACAGCTTCAACGGTGTGCCTTATCAGGCATCTGAACACCACTCTTTTGAGGGCCCTTAATATTATAAATTTTGCAATTGCAACCATCCAAATAACAAAAGATCCAAAAACACAAGTGCCCAAATGAAATTTAAAGACATTTCTTACAGCTGTCAGTATATGGTGTTTCCTATAAGACCTCGCCCTAAAAATAAAGAACATTAACAAAAATTTAATAATTGTAATTATATAATCTATTGTGCCCTTCCTTGGGAGTCATCACTAGGGATCGGCAAGACAAGAAATCTTGTTTTGACAAGCAATTTCTTGTCTTGTCTTTTTCAAGATTTAAAAAAAATCTTGTCTTGACCATTTCTTGAAAGTTGATTTCTTGTCTTGATTCAAGAAATCTTGAAATTTCTTGATATCTTGACAAAAGGGGAACCCCCGCTTAAAATTGGTTTATTAAAGGGGAAACCCCTGTTTAAAAGTCGAGGTGAGATTGGTTAATGTGATGTTTATGCTTTATGCGTAAAATCAAATCGAGGGTCAGGCATCTAATTTTCAAAAACTTTGGGCTCATTATACTACAGTAGCCAAAATCATCTCATCAGATTTACATAATTTTGTTAATTATTATTATAATTATCTAATATTAAAATGAGTGATTGTGATGGTTCGTTGAGCAGCAAATCTGAGCCAATTCGTAATTAAATCTGGTTTAGAATACCTACCACCTTAGACACCTGGACGTAGAAGTTTAATTAGTGACTTTGAGAGTATAGTGACGGTGATAATACTACTACCTTTGAATAAGAAGACTAAGGAAGGAGCATAATGCTATTCATGCATGGTGGGCGGAAAAAGCGCCATAAAAGCACTCTAGGGTGGGGATCCTTGACAGTTCTGTTTGACGATTCATTTGACACATTTGAATTTGATTTGAAATTTTGTGGATTTGTCAGTCTTTACGGAGCTTATTTTATGTTATTCATTATTTATTCTACTACTGATAGTTGTATAAAGGTAGTAAATCTAGATGGAAATTGTGGCAGCACTTAAATTAACAGTGACACTATCGCGATTTATCGAAAAAGACTCTAAAATAGGTGGTTGTGTAGCGTGCGGTAGATCTCGGCAAAAATTGAGTGAAATAATGGAACAACTTTTCGCTAGTAAGTGACTATATAATATACATACGTGTAGTAAACCGATCATTTATGAAATTCACTTAAATTAACTAAATTATATATTTTTCTTGCATTTTAGCTTTTATTTATTACTTGTCAAAGATTAGATGTCAAAGAATTTAGATACGTTAATTTGACTTACCTGCTTCAGTAGCGTATCGGATGTTTGTGGTAATAAATACTTATTATAACTTATCTATTTTTATTAGAATTATATATTTTTATAACAATTTTAATAACGACCAACATTTATTCACAACGTAAAATAAAACAACAAATTATTGAGTCTACCCCACGTCTACCCTACATCATAGTTTTACATTTTTTAAATAAAATTAGAACGACACTGATAAACCGGAATTTAAGTCGGCCATATTTGAGGCCCATCGCGGTGTACCTAAGATTTTTGATATGCTCCTTCCTTAGTCTTCTTATTCAAAGACTACTACAGATAAAAACAGTCAAAACAACAATGATAAAAGCTACTCTACTTCAGTGGCGTACATTAAAATGCATTATTTTTTTTTATTTTAAAAGTTTTACGTTAATTCAAAAAGTCTGTATGCCACTGAAGTAGACCCGCTTTGCAAAGTTTTTTTTACTCTAATATCGTGGGCCATAACATTGTTGGCCCACAGTATGCCAACTTTGAACATCCGACTTTGGACGTACTTATGTCAACTTTGGACATTGGACATCCGACAAAGTGCCGCTTCGTACAAATATTTTTTGCTTAATAATTTTTTTATCCATCAATTAATTTTAAATTTACAAATACCTAAGTAAATGAGTATTTCTTTTTTATTTTATATTTTCAAGAAATTTCAAGATTTTCTTGATTTCTTGTCAAGAAATCTTGATCTTGAGAAGTAATTTCTTGAAATCAAGACAAGATCAAGAAGTTGTCAAGAAAATGACGACCCCTAGTCATCCCACGGTCTATAACCCATCGTACCTCTGTTGTAGAGGGGACAGAGTATTTCCCATTCTCCTCTGATAACAGATCCTCCTCCGAGGGTACACACCCTTCCACGATTGGAGTTTGGCCCTCCGTGCCGCCCTTCACAGTCGAGGAGCTTGCCTCCAGCTGAGGAACCCGTGAGGTGGAGGCTGGAGGATCTGTCCCCATTTTCTCCACCTCTTTAACTTGGTCTCTCCTTAGACCTGATACCGGTGTTGTCCCGTATCTATAATAGAGGATATGTCCCTCTTTCTCTATTGCCTCCTTTGATTTGAGGTCAATTCCTATTGTGAGGACCTGACCATGACCCTTCTCCCTCGAGTTGATGACTCGCCAACTCGATGTCCTTACATTGAAGTTCTGACCCTGTTCGGCAACGCAAGATTTATCCGGTCTACCATATCTTATCTGAGCTAAATGTTCTTTAAATCTAGTTAATATTGATCTTTTAGTTTGCCCAACATATTTCTGATTACAATCTTTACACAAGAAATTTTATAAATACCCGACCTTTCCAGTGGAGGTGTTTTATCCTTTGGATTACCAAATAATTGTTGTAATTTATTATTAGCACTATACACAAATTTATAATTGACATTCTTAAAAATTTCTTTTAGACCACGGGATAACACTATCAAGCGGTATTGAAAAATATTTTGACGTATCTTTCTCCACTTGAAATGTCGAATTTTCAGAAATCATTAACCTATACCTACGTTTTCTAATTATTTTATCAACTAGTGAAGGAGAATATCCATTACACTCAGCTACATTCCTAATGCAATCTCTTTCTATTTCATATCTTTCGCTGGAAAGTGGAAAACTAAGTAATCTATGGACTAAGAAATTTAAACTAGCCATTTTATGTTCTTATGGATTACCCATTGCTGTACCATTGTCTCCATTTTTGGCTAATTTATTCATGAGCAGGTTTGAAGTAGAGGCTAAGAATCAGTTTGAGTATTTTCCAAGAGTATGGTTTAGGTATGTGGATGATCTTTTTGCTGTTTTTGACACACATTCAGACACCATAGATAATTTTATTTCTAAATTAAATAATCGTTTTCCTTCCACTAAATTTACGCATGAAATTGAGAACAACGACAGATTACCATTTCTAGATGTATTAGTTATTAGAAATCATAATAATTGCCTGGAATTTGATATCTATAGGAAAAATACCACTACACGCAAATATATTCCTAATGAATCATATCATAGTGTTGAACATAAAATGGCTAGTTTAAATTTCTTAATTCATAGATTACTTAGTTTTCCATTTTCAAGATATGAAACAGAAAGAGATTACATTAGGAATGTAGCTGAGTGTAATGGATATTCTCCTTCACTAGTTGATAAAATAATTAGAAAACGTAGGTATAGGTTAATGATTTCTGAAAATTCGACTTTTCAAGTGGAGAAAGATACGTCAAAATATTTTTCAATACCGTTTGACAGAGAGTTATCCCGTGGTCTAAAAGGAATTTTTAAGAATGTCAATTATAAACTTGTGTATAGTGCTAATAATAAATTACAACAACTATTAGGTAATTCAAAGGATAAAACACCTCCACTGGAAAGGTCGGGTATTTATGAAATTTCTTGTAAAGATTGTAATCAGAAATATGTCGCAAACTAGAAGATCAATATTATCTAGATTTAAAGAATATTTAGCTCAGATAAGATATGGTAGACCGGATAAATCTTGCGTTGCCGAACATGTTGTTGATAAAGAACATTGTATAGATCTTAATAATTTAAAATTAATTAAACAAGTCTCAAATTACAGGCAATTAGATGCATATGAAAGCATCAGAATTAATAAATGTAAAGATAGTATGAACAGAGACAACGGTCCAATTCCTTCAAGTTCTTTGTTCCTACCACCCTAGTGGCGGAAATTTAACTGTTACGCTCGGTGGGCTCTGACTCGGTTGGCTAGATCTTGCCACGCCCACTCGGTGCCCACTGAGCGAGTATATAAATGCTCAACTTGTAGATTGTATTTTAGTTTATAATCATCTGCTGATGATGCTAACATGGTTAGCGAAACGCGCGTCCAGTGTAGAAGTAAAAGTGTTTTGGTGTATTGTGGTGATTTAGTGTTTTTATTTTGCTGTGTAACACCAAAGGTTCCAATCCTCAACTATAATCTATAAATACCTGGTAAAGTATCTGTTTGCAACTGCTCCGGCAACAATCATATATTCTATGGCACCGATAATACGGTATAGCCAGGAATATACACTAAAAGTATAAATAATAGTGAATGACAAAACACTAGTTATGACATGATCGCTCGACTGAGATATCCAATTCCCCGATGTAACCATACATGAAAGTATCACTCCAAAGATTACTGTAAGTGCTGCTGTTGTAAGAAAATTCTAGAAAAATATTAATAATGACCTTTAATGAATTAGAATCGAGAAAATAATACTTACAATTACTGGAATAGAAATTAGAAGAGGCATATCAAAGATAATTATCGAAGCTTCTTGAATTATTTTGATGGTAAATTTAATCTTATGTCTTAAATATATGATTACTATAAGAAGAATTTTTACACATACTGTTAATATTAGACCTCCATAAAAAAGTATATTTTTCATATCTTCATTCGCTTGAAAGTAGTATATCCTAAAACAATAGAGTCTCTGTATCTATTAGTTCTGGCTTCGCCATAAGCAATGACCCACCAAAGTGGAATTAGTAAATACAGAAAAAAAAAAAAATATATTTTATACAGGGTGGCGCACCTCATTCGCCTCGGTTGGTTATACGAAAACGGAAAGATGTAGAAACAAATTTTTTATGGGTATATTATATGTAGAGAGGCAATGTGCATAGTTTAAAATTATTTTCAAATGTACAGGGTGTGTCAGAATTAAGATCCATACTAAAGTTATATTTTTTCTTATGGAGCACACACCCGGTATTTTGTTTCATTTTTGGATTCTTGGGCATAAAATAAGGCATTTATTGTAAGTGTAAAGTTTATTTCTCTGGCTTGAAAGTCAGCACAAGAATTAATTCTGAAAAGTAATGTACAAGGTGTTGACAAACTTTTGTATTATAGCACGCATATTTAAATATCTTTAAATATCTCAAAAACCAAAGCTTTTAAACATATCAAACCCTTATAATAAATGCCTTTTTTTGGGCCCAAGAATCCAAAAATGAAATAAAATACCGGGTGTTCCATAGGAAAAAATATATAACTTTGGTATGGATCTTACTTTTGAAACACCCAGTATATTTTAAAATATTTTTAAAATGTGCACATTACCTCCCCACATTGCCTCACATATATATAGTCTGTGAAACGAATAACTTTGAATTTGACAGTTCCCGCGGGCTTCTTCTTCTTCTTCTTTTTTTATGATGGCTCTGCTACAAGGCAACCGCCAGCTCAATTTGGGAGTGACCAAGATGTTGACTGGCTCTAAACCATATCAAGGCCACTGATTCTTATCTGAGTAAAATGTATAATGGGTAAATTTTAATATAACTAACTTCTATGAAGGTAACCTGTGACCTGTGACTGTATTCCCGCAGGCTTTTCTAGTGTTAATTTTATTAGGGTAGCAACTTGCGGCCATGCTGACGCAATGCCGTCTCTAATAGAACAGCCTCGGAGCGAGATTCATGACGTCACGCTTGTTAGATACTACGGATTAATAAATATGTTGTAGAATACATGGAAAACATAATTATTCCTCGTATTTTTGGTTGCATTGATTATGGCTGAAATCGTACTCCATAGTCAATGTAGATAGTTTTAGTGTTAAGAATAATAATTTTAAAAAATATGTGGTCGTCTTTTGACAAGTTTATATTAATTTATTAATTGCAGTAAACATTATGTGGTGTTAGGTTAGGTTGTGAATATTTTATATGTAATCTTTTGGATTATATTCGACACTATTTTTTTCATATGACACAATACTGATAAAGGCTATAATGTTAGCCGAAACATTTTTTTAAACCAAAAAAAAATAATGAAAACCCAAATGAAAACTTAATCAGCGTTTTTCCCGAACCTAAATCCCAAAAAAATCAAAAATTTTAGAATAATTTTACATATAAAATGACAGCGATCTTTATTTCATAGCCATCGCTGACGCCTTTTTTTTATGATATTGTATTATTTGCAAATATATAATTTTTTGAACATTGATACTTGCAAAATATACATATGAATTTTGTGAATGCAAATAATAATACATCACTATTAGTAGATATTGAATGTTTTTTGTTAAATTAGATCGATTTTCAAACCCCAAAATTTATAATATATTTTACATTTTACCCATTATCTTATGTACCTATTCATTATAATATATTGTAAAACATTTGCTGCATTTGTATTATTCATAGTTTATTTGTCAAAGTATTTATTGCTATAAATAGGTATATATATATATATATATATATTGTATTTATTAAGTATATATTATGTATATTTCATGTAAACTATATCATTTTTAAAATACAAACCAAAAATACGAGGAATAATTATGTTTTCCATGTATTCTACAACATATTTATTAATCCGTAGTATCTAACTAGCGTGACGTCATAAATTTCGCTCCGAGGCTGTTCTATTAGAGACGGCATTGCGTCAGCATGGCCATTGGTCTGATAATTAGAAATGTCAAAAGCTGATGACATTTTACTTTTGACAATTATTACATTTTGTGTTGATTTTTGCAAGAAAAGGAAGAACTGTCACTTGTTTTATTATTTTCCTTTTCTTTTTCACTCAATTTAAAGAATATTAGTAACTTTTTTGATAGAGGTATTTTATATTTGCCATGTTGGTAAAAAATAACGGTCAAAATTCAAAGTTATTCATTTTATAGACTATACCTATAAAATATTTTGTTTCTACATCTTTCCGTTTTCGTATAATAAACCGAGGCGAATGAGGTGCGCCACACTATAGCGATACCAACTAAACTTTTACTCCAAAAAAACCTTTATGGGTATTTCGCCACTGCACTGCCAGAAAAATCTAGAAAATAAAATAGTTATTTTTTGTAAACACTTCTGCGTTAAACCTAAACGGACACTGCTTGTCAGAAGTTATGTTTACAGTAATAAAAATTGACTTAACAAAGAAAAAAATGCTTATCGTTTCGGAAAGTTTATCTCTTTCCGTCGTCGGAAGCAAAAAAAATATAAAGAATAAAGAAAAAAACTATTTAAATATTTAAATTCAACTATTCGAGAACACTTTACTTTTTTTTTAAAACAGATAGGTCTACAAGAAACCGTTGACGTTCTGTTAAAATGACATTATATCAAGTTGAACTTCAAAATTAACAATTACTACCTGATAACAATTATTTAATAAGGTGAAACCAAAAAACCCAAAACTTTCTGTATGATTATTTTTAAATTTTACGTGTGTTATGTTTATTTATGTTATGTTCTTTAAAATCAAAGAAGCGATTGTATGTCCTAAAATGCTTAGTTTCGGAGATACAGGGTGTAGAAGTTTCATTTTTATCTCGACTTTTTCCATATTGTTGCGCACACTGTGGTCTAGAGAGGGCAGTTATAAATATACCAGTGCAGTTGACGCGCTAAAATTCAAAATAAATTCTTAGTTATAAATCGTTTGTAAATAGTTCTATAAGTATTTTATCGTTATTGTTTTTGTTAATTAGTGTTAAATAAATAGTGTTTAAATAAATTGTGACTTTCTATCCACACGGAACCGACGAAAAACGTAACAATATAATTTCTGAAGTAACGTCAATAATTGGATGAAAATTATTTATGTGTAATATTAGTGTCTAGGTGTTTTTTGACATGAGAAATTTTATTTTGATGTCAATATGACTCCTACTTGTAGAGGGCGCCACCTAGATATTTTTTAACTGGTTTGGAGAGTAATAACTTTTAGTCCGTACCTGTATAAAACTACTGAGTGAAAAAATATACATTTCCGTTATTTTTTACGTAAAAAATGTCACTTGGTAAAAATCGCTACGAGTAATGATTCTCGAGATATTTGGAATCGAAAATATCAATACCTGTCATCTTTGACATAAATTAAATATGTTGACTACATAGTTATTAGACTAAAATCATAAATTTGAAATATTTTTTCTGCCAAAAGTTCAAGTTCAAACTGTTTTATCGTTTATCGAAGAAAAATTTATGATTAATTTAAAGAAATAAAGAAGTTCGGAAATTTATAATTTCAGTCAATTAAATCTGTAACGTGTATTGACTATTTCCATTCTAAATATCTTGAAAACGGTTGCTCGTAGCGATTTTTACCAAGTGGCATTTTTTACGTAAAAAATCACGGAAATGTATATTTTTTCACTCGGTAGTTTTATACAGGTACGGACAAAAAGTTATTACTCTTCAAAACAGTTAAAACACATGTAGGTGGTGCCCTCTACAAATAGGAGTCGTTTTGATATCAAAATCAAATTTTTCATGCTAAAAAAACTCCCAGACACCAATTTTTATCCAAATATTGACGTTACTTTCGAAAGTATGTGGAAAAAATCGAAATAAAAATGAAACTTCTACATCTCAGAAACTAAAAATTTTAGAACATACATTTATACAAACTTTTTTACTTATTTTTATCTGCAGAATATGCTGCCGAAGTTTCCAGAATACATTTCGGACCACCTTGTATATTTAAAATTAATTTATTTTTGTTTCCTTAAATTGTTTTTTTGTTTTGATTAAAAGAAAATATGTAAAAGTGAGCAACGATGTCCCGGTGAAGCTTAATCACGTGACTAAAAGTTTATTTGGTATGAACTATACGTATATACGATCGTATGGTATGATGATATATAACTTTATAATAGATTTTAATCTACAATAGTTTAAAAAATGACTTACCAAAAAATAATGAGGATAATATACAAGGCGATCATAATGCTCACAATCATGCTCCATATCAGACATCCGGTGGCATGACGAAATAACATAAACATCACTGCAGTCACTACTGTAAAATATTTAATTATTTTAATAATTCATATTCAGATTTAATTCATATTCAACTGAACCAGTCTGATTTAAAGAAATATTCTTTAAATGCATTTATTAAAACCTGGTTTATTTTAAATACATATTTTGTTTATTTATGATTTTTTTACAATTTTTTGTTCACTTCCTGTTTCACGGGAAATTATTATAACTTTTGATTTTTAAATGGCACCCTCTGTATTATTTTACTTTATTGAATAGGAAATGACACTCTGAATAGAATGACATATCATATACGAGTATGTCAACTTTTGGCATTCTCGCTTAAAAAATCGTATTTTAAATTTCAATCTGGAGTGCCATATGGCTATGTTAAAAACACTAATTTGTAATCAAGGAGCCTTAGAAAAATAGATTTGATCGTCTAATGTTTTTTTTTGAAAGATGGCCAGATCCTATTTTTAATCATAACCTCGATCATAACTCAATTTTTTCAAATGGAACGAGGGTGACTCATTAGCATATTTGGAAAAAGCATTTTTTTACAAATAATTTGGTACCACAAACTTGGTATATCAAGTCAAATTCTCATTACATCTATGGTCATGGCACACTAAATTGGAATTAAGAATGTTATTATTTTTTAATTGAAAATGTCTAAAGTTCATGATAATATGTCATTCTAATCACAATGTCATTTTCTATCAAATGAAGTAAAAAATACCGAAAGTGTCATTTAAAAATCAAAAGTTGTAGTCATTTCCGGTGAAACAGGAAGTGACCGAAAACAATTGAATATCTTAATCAATCCTAATTTATATTATACAGGGTGAGTTTCCTACGATGTTCTCTATGGGTATCTCGGAAACTACTAGAGATAGTCGCTTAAATGGGGAAAGAATTGCAGTTTTGTGGGGTCATAAATATGCGCCATTCAGATTTTTGAAAAGGTTCATGGCTTACTAGATATTTCGAAAAAAACAAATTTCGGCTATTTTAAAAATTGTCCCTAATTCCATTATAAGCTATTTTAGACAAAAAGTTTTCAGATAAAAGTTGTAGATAATCACATCCCTAATGAGACTGTGCCCTCAGTTTTCTGCTAATGCCTGTCATTTTTGACATATGATACAAACATATGTTTTTTTTAAATGGAAACCATAGTTCGCCATGATTTCAAAAAAAGCGTCATTTTTTAAGCTTTTTAGCGATATAAACTATAATATGTTTTCTTCGAAAAATTACTGAGTTATAGCCAATTCTTATCATTTTTAAACAATTTCACTTAGTTAGCCATGGAAACAAGTTCAATCGTCGCACAGTGGGGTATTTGACACAGGTAGTTGATCGAAATTTTTTTATGTAGACCTTATATAAATTATTGCTATTTTCAATTAAAGAGGAAATAATATGAACAAAATAAAGGATAATTCGTCGATTCTAAAAAAAGAAAGAAAAATCACTGTTCCACTGTTTCCACGGTCAATGCTACTAATGCCAGTAGTAATATCGCAACTAATACTACTAATGCTACGACTGATCCGCGAGCAATGCCCATACCACTAAAGTCGCTACTAATGCCAAATTGTGCTATACTCCTAATGGCACTAATGCGATCACTTTGTACACAACAATGCCATCGCGGTTTACACCTCGCATTAGTATATCACTGATTGGCAAATTAGAGGAAACCAAGAATGTTTTTCTCATTTGCAAAGTCGCAAAAAGTCGCAGTATTTTATTTTACTGTATGAAAGCCCAATGTTTACTAAGTAAAACGTATATAGACAATATGCTGGATTCTTCGAAATGCACAACTAAATCTCTAAGTATAATAAAAATGTCACAAATTTAATCAAATTTTCTAAACGCCTAACTTTTAGTTGCAAAAAAAGTCGTTAGTATAGAGAATATCAAAATAAATAATACGTTTTTGTAGAATACATACCTGCAGCTTGCTGAGCCATTTCCAATCAAAACAATAATATAAACGTAAAAAGAGCACAAGGACAACAACAATTTATAATTTTAAACATAAAATTTGGCCATTTACCTCTAATCTGTGAGAAGTAACAACTTTGACGTTTCGTTAAAACAAATGAATGCAACTAAACACACCCATAGCAACGCCATTCATGGCAGACATGATTTAACTTATCATTTATCTTTTTTTGGGAAATCTTAAACACATTTGCTTTTTCGAATTTCGATCACCTTTTTCATGCTAATCCCCACCGTGCGTCGTTGCTCTCGAGTGGCGGTACTAGAGAAGTTTAATTAAGTCGACCGGTCCTTCTATGAGAATAGGTAGTAGTTCAGTTTTAAAAAGATGCAACTCAAAACAATGGCGGATTTTTTGAACACTTTCTAAAATAACTATCATAGAACTAATCGCTGCGAAAAATTCGCTGGACCTATCACGAACTAAAACGAGCGAAACTAAACTACGAGTCGAATCTTCGTTCATATATTTTCGTTTTGTTTCGCTCACGTTCATATATTTTCGTTTTGTTTCGCTCAAGTAGCCGCTGACGTATTAAAAAGTATGGAAGCTGATTTTTACAAATCTTATCTTCGCTTAGTTTAGTTTCGCTCGCAGTGGCCGCCCGCCTAAAAAAATGGCGCTTTTTATGAAGTCGTGGCCAACTAAGGTTTCCATTTAAAAAAAACATATGTTTGTGTCATATGTCAAAACTGACAGACTTTAGAAGAAAACGGAGGGCACAGTCTCATAAAGGATGTGATTATTAGTCCAGTCATCTTAGTCGAAATAAGTAGGAATCTCGGAATTCAAGATAACCGGCTGTAAACTGGTATAAACCTTTATTTTAACATCCTAAAACATGTCTCAAAACCTACGTATGATAGCGTGTGCGTGATTTGTAGATAACTGAGGTCAAAGGTAAAAAAACGATTTTTTGCGCATTTTCTGCAAATATCTCGTTCCCTTTCACATTTACGCTATTTGTATTTATTATAAATATTATAGAGGACAAAATTCTCTACAACTTTTGTTTCAAAATTTTTTTTGTACCTCAAACCGTTTTTGAGATAGAGGGCGGTGAGCGCGCAGTCTTTCATTATGTACGGTATCATTCAAATTCAACCTGTAGTCTCTGTCAAAAACACGCCGTATAGAGTCCGTTAATTATTGAAAAATATAGAATTATAAAAAATGTACATTTTTTCTTAAAAGATCATATTGAATATAATAATTTTTTTCATAAATTAAGTAGAAATACTTTAATTACATTTTAATTATAGTTAGATTTATACTAATTACATTGTAAGTAAATAACAAGACAAGAAATACATTTTTAATTTATATGTCTATTAAAAAATACGATTTCATACATTTCTCATGGTTGAAATTAAAAAAAATTGAATAAAAATAAAAAGAACTCCATGTTCTTATTTTTAGTTTTCTTCTTCTTCTTCATCATCGTGGTCTGGTCGTTGTGGAATTTCAAATTCTTCTTCATTTTCATCTCCAACGACATTTGTCTCCAAGTCTTCTAGGATTTCGGGGTCAAAGGTACCATCTTCATTGACATCACTCTGATATGGTGAAGCATTGAGACAAGCTTGCCCATTACACTGGCCACAAGCTAAGGAGCACGGCAACCCTGATTTTCTGCATCCACATCGCGAACCACAACCATTCTTACAGTTGCAGAATATTGTGTTCAGCAAATTTTTTTCAGCAAAATTATTATATTCAATATGATATTTTATGAATAAATGTAAATTATTTATAATTATACAGGGTGAGTTTCCTACGATGTTCTCTATGGGTATCTCGGAAACTACTGAAGATAGAGAGTCGGTTAAATGAAAAAAGAATTGCAGTTTTGTGGGGTCATAAATATGCGCCTTTCAGATTTTTGAAATAGTTCATGGCTTACTAGATATTTCGAAAAAAAAACAAATTTTGGCCATTTTAAAAATTGTTCCTAATTCCATTATAATCTATTTTAGACAAAAAGTTTACAGATAAAAGTTGTGGATAATCACATCCCTAATGAGTTTGTGTTCTCCAATTTTTTCTAAAGCCTGTCATTTTTGACATATGACACAAACATATGTTTTTTTTTAAATGGAAACCATAGTTGGCCATGGCCTCATAAAAAGCGCCATATTTTAAGCTTTTCAGTGATATAAGCTATAATATGCATTTTTTCACAAACTTACTGAGTTATAGCCAATTTTTATCTTTCTTGACTAATTTCACTTAGTTAGCCATGGAAACAAGTGCAATCGTCGTTGCTCTCACAAATGTGAAACTGTCACATCTAAGCTTTGTAAATTAAAATAAACAAAAATTGTAAATATTAATTTTTCAAATGAAGAAAAACGTATTGGATTATTGATTTAACATTTCTTGGCCATACAGTTTCGAGGATACGTTGACCGGTGGACGTTACTTACGTTCTTTTTAGAGAATGATTTTCAAGTTAAATTTAGATACTCGCGCATTAAAAGTGTCTTATGAAGTCTATGACTTCATTATGACACCCCCCCCCTGCGGTATGATTAACAAGGTTTACGAAAGAACTTATGAATTAAGCACTCGAAGAGGCGGTACAGGAGAAGTTTAATTAAGTCGACCGGTCGTTCTGTGACAATAGCTAGAAATTCAGTTTTAATAAGATGCATTTATGTACTCAAAACAATGGCGGATTTTTTGAAAATTTTCTAAAATAACTGAAAGTGTACTATGTAGTGATACTATTTTTTTCAGTTTTTATTTGTGTAATGTAAATTATAAAAAGCCGTTTAATAATATATTTTGTCTTTTTATAAGTTATAAATCATAACAAAATAAGAACACCATGCCAACTAAGAGAAATTAGATAAGAATTGACTATAACTCAGTAACTTTTGAAAATAAATTTTTGTATTTTTTCTTTATTTTAGTTTACAAAATTTGGATGTGACAGTTCCACATTTCTGAGAGCAACGACGATTGAACTTGTTTCCATGGCTCACTAAGTGAAATTAGTGAAGAAAGATAAGAATTGGCTATAACTCAGTAATTTTGTGAAAAAAGCATGTTATAGCTTATATCGCTGAAAAGCTTAAAAAATTGCGCTTTTTATGAAACCATAGCCCTATGGTTTCCATTTAGAAAAACATATGTTTGTGTCATATGTCAAAAATGACAGGCTTTAGAAAAAATCGGAGAACAAAAACTCATTAGGGATGTGATTATCTACAACTTTTATCTGAAAACTTTTTGTCTAATATAGATTATAATGGAATTAGCGACAATTTTTAAAACAGCCACAATTTGTTTTTTTCGAAATATCTAGTAAACCATTTCAAAAATCTGAAAGGCGCATATTTATGACCCCATAAAACTGCAATTCTTTGCCCATTTAACCGACTCTCTAACTCCGGTAGTTTCCGAGATACCCATAGAGAACATCGTAGGAAACTCACCCTGTATATTTTTCAATAATTAACAGGCTTTATACGGCGTGTTTATGACCGAGACTACAGGTTGAACTTGATTGATACCGTACATAATGAAAAACTCCGCGTTCACCACCCTGTATCTCAAAAACGGTTTGAGGTACAAAAAAATTTTTGAAACAAAAGTTGTAGAGAATTTTATCCTCTACAATATTTATAAATACAAATAGCGTAACGACGAGATATTTCCAAAAAATCGATTTTTTGACCTTTGACTTCAGTTATCTACAAATCGCGCACACGCTATCATATGTAGTTTTTGAGACATATTTTAGGATGTTAAAATAAAGGTTTATACGAGTTTATAGCCGGTTATCTCGAATTCCGAGGTGAAACCCCTAAGATGACTGGACTATATCTACAACTTTTATCTGAAAACTTTTTTTATCAAAAATAGCTTATAATGGAATTAGGGACAATTTTTAAAATAGCCGAAATTTGTTTTTTTCGAAATATCTAGTAAGCCATGAATTTTTTCAAAAATCTGAGAGGCGTATATTTATGACCCCACAAAATTGCAATTCTTTCCCTATTTAAGCGACTCTCTATCTCCAGTAGTTTCCGAGATACCCATAAAGAACATCGTAGGGAACTCACCCTGTATACTCGCATACCAAATCTATTTTTTTTTCTGAAAAAAATTAAAAAAGTATAGGGGCTAGCCACTTTTGAGAAATACCCGGTATAGGCGGTATATAGCTATTTCAAAAAATTATTATCAAAGTTCATCATGTTTACAAATCTACATTCTGTTCGTTCATTGTTATACAGGGTGTTTCAAAACAAATGCGAAAAACTTTAGAGGGTGATTCCTTGTTCAAAATAAAGGGTAGTTTGCTTTATAAACGTTGGGTCAAAAGTCAACCATTAGGGAGATATCGCGGTACAAAGATGGCGGAAAAATAATGTTTTTATTTTTTATCTTGAAAACGAAAAGAGATAGACTAATGAAATTTTATGGAAGCATTACTGTTATGAAAACACACTTTCAGGTAATTTTTTTACTTTTTTAAAATGAGTGGAAGGAGTTGAAATAAACTACCCCTATCATTCTTGTTAACGAAATTTAAAGAAAAATCTTATCATTAATCTTATCAACACATGCAAATGCTTTAATTTGGATAGTTTAGTTTGTTTAGAAACTTTTTTATCTCTTGTGTTTTTTTGATAAAACTCACCGATTTGAAATTAAAAAATAAAATGTAAAGCATTACATGTCAGGACAAAAAACATTTTTAGATTAAGAATCTAGTGATAATAACGATAATAATAATCATCTAGATAATAACGTATTGCAGTAGAGTAATGTCAAATAAAATAATATTAGGAACATCCTAAAAAGTAACAGCGGCCGACTAGATTTTTCCCTAAAAAAATTACAGCAGCCCACTAGATTCTTTATCAGAAAATGTTTTTTGTCCTGACATGTAATGCTTTACATTTTATTTTTTAATTTCAAATCGGCGAGTTTTATCAAAAAAATACAAGAGATAAAAAAGTTTCTAAACCAACTGAACTATCCAAATTATTTTTTTTGCATGTGTTTGATAAGATTTTTCTTTAAATTTCGTTAACAAGAATGATAGGGGTAGTTTATTTCAACCCCTTCCACTCATTTTAAAAGTGAAAAAATTACCAGAAAGAGTGTTTTCATAACAGTAATACTTCCATAAAATTTTATTAGTCTATCTCTTTTCGTTTTCAAGATAAAAAATAAAAACATTATTTTTCCGCCATCTTTGTACCGCAATATCTCCCTAATGGTTGACTTTTGACCCAACGTTTATGAAGCAAACTACCCTTTATTTTGAAGAAGGAATCACCTCCTGAAGTTTTTCGCATTTGTTTTGAAACACCCTGTATATATTTTCGTGGATTTATAAAAGGACGAATTTTAGAGTGCATTTTATGCTATGTTACTGTAAAATAATTGTTCAGCAATACTTACAAATTGAAATTAAACTACAGATGAACAGTGCCCATAAAGCTGAAGACCTAGAGGAAGTAGTTACTCCTTCAGATGTTGTCCCTGACTGGGCGTTTACTGAACTAAGTCTGGAACATATAAAATCCTATGAAAGATTTCTACCTTCGTCGTGTGACATTCTCAGCTCCATAGATAAAAGAAAGTAATCTTCTATTAAGATAGATATGAAACTTAATAGTAAAATTTTCGGTCAAAGCGCCCCTCCGTGTTCTTAGTAGAGACTACGTTTAACCCAGAGCCTTCGCCTTTTCTGCTGTAAATATTTTTTGTTTATATTTGATTTCAAAGAATTTAGTTTTAAAGTTACACTGATATATTAGTATATCAGAGCAACTTTAATAAAACATAAGAATATATATATATTTTACAGTTTATTAAATATAAATTTTGACTACAAGGTAGAAAGTAAATCACAATATTTGATAAAACTTATAAGTATACCATTTTTACAGTTAATAAATAATAAAACTATTTCTGACTATGATATTTAAAATTTAGATAGATAAAATATTAAAAAACATACCGGTATTTGCAGACGCAGGCCCAAATTCAATAAAAACCAAAATTTTTCCTGCGAAAATCGGGCTTTTTTCACAGAAAAGGTATTTTTTGATTTATCAACAATCATTGTCAAATTGACAATATACAGGGTGTTTTCTAATTAGTCTAAAAAATTGTGGTGTGATTCCTAATGTGGTCTTAAAACAATTTTTAATATAACCATTCGGTCTAAAGTACTTCCTTTCTGATCTACAGGGTGTTAAAAATTTAAAAAAATCGATATTTTGCTTAACATAAATGGTACACTACTGCTTTTTTAAAGAAAATATATTTTTTTTTGACTGGCCATCATCCTTTTTCAACAAAATTGATCTTTTGAGTTTTTCTTGTTCATCAAACGGTTGCCGAGAAAAAAACAAATATACTTATTAAGAGCCAAAGTTTTTTTTGATTTTAAATCATGAGGTGGGGTGGCGTGGCGTGGCGTGTGGCCTAATGGGGTCCCGGCTTAAGGGCTGGCAAAGGTTAGTCTTGGGTCGAAATTTCCGTATGTAAGAAGAGTAGAATGCGTTTATAATGTACTGAACAAAGAGAGAACAGTAAACACATTGCCAAACGTATGAAATAAACCGAGAACCTGTGCCATTGCTAAGAGACGTGGAAGGGGATATAGCAGATTTGTCGCAGTCGACCCAATCAGTACCACTGTCAGTACTTAAAGTTCTAGGGAGAAGTGTACATCATGCGTTCAGTTTCACGATTGAATTACATCTTGTGATGCTTTATTTGTTTATTTATTAACGAGTCGTTGTAATTTTCCCTATAACTTGAAAATTTTTAAGTGCAAGTTAGAAACACTTGCATTTTTGGTCAAAATAAGCGGAATTGAGTTGATGTTCGACAGTGGTCGCGCTATAAGAACTCTGAATTCAACAATCGATATCTCGAAATCTATTAGAAATAATTGATTGCAGTTTTTTCAAAAACATTCTTAATATTTCTGCTATATTTTCTTCGCAGACAGTATGTGAAAATCTTGATAAATAAAAAAGCTACACGATTGCTGAAAATTGCTATGCACTAAAAGTAAATGGATGGGGTGTTTAAAATTTTTGAATGGAAAAAAACAACCTTATCGAACTTTTCTAATTTAAACATATTGTAAAAGATCCGATCGAAAAAAAAAATTCAATATCTAAAGTGGTTCTTAAGTTCTTAGCTTATGGCGTGTTATGTGAAAAAATTGAGTTTTAAATTATCGCGATTACTGACGTTTTCCTCTTATAAAAAAATGGACACCTTTACGTTATCCTTATAATTCCATTTCAGATGCTCGGAAACATATCTAATGATTTTATCTAGTTATCTTTTCGAAAAAAAATCTTTTAAAAATAAGGGGTTTGCGATAGTGATGGGTTGTTATTTAACTATCTGTTATTTTATAACAATTATTTAGAAATAACATAACGCAACCGTTACTACTTTTAAAAAATAACAGATATAAAATAACGACACGCAGAGATCGACCGTTCGTGAAACGAAGTCGGCGCTCTGCACCGCCACGAAATTCGATGCTGCTCGAAGCAATTTCAAAAAACAACTAGTACGGATGGAAAACATGTTATTTCGACAACCATCGATACAGGCGGCGAGATACAACGGACAATGGAGTGGGGCGCGGCGAACGTAGCTGCTTCGTTCGATGTCGTCGATGGTCGTGTTGGGCTTGCAACAGCTTAAAAATAATAGGATATAAAAGAAGCAGCTTTTTTGAAACAGTTGCAGGCATAACGCCTGGCGGTCGAGATAACAGGAGTGGGAGAGGAACGCTGCTGCATCGGTCGATTGTCGATGGAGGCTCGCAACGGGTTGGAGAATAACGCATCAGTTGTTTTAGATACATTGTTTTTCAACCTGTTACGAGCATAACGGGCGGAGGTCGAGATATTATGGCGCTGTATGTTTCAGTACGTTATTAAGTTTCAATATTTAGGTATTTATTTATTCTGAAAAATTTTCAAAATAATATTTTAAGATTTTTTAAAAACAGGGTGTTTTGAAAAATCTGGTCATTGATTAATCACGATCCTGCTTAAAGCCCTTGACGTAAAAAGCTGATTTTTGGAAAACGGATTGACTTTAGGGTGTAGAGGTTCGATAAGAAGGGATTTTTCGAAACTCGAATTCTAAGGGGGTGAAACCACCCTCAAATATTAGAATATTTTTTACTAGTTTAAGTGTAAAATTAATTCGAACTCTAGTGTGTAGTTGGTTTACTTATGAAGAAAATACTACACATTTTCTTATATTGCTATTTTTTGACCGCAAATGGTAAAATCATAACTAAGAGCTTCTCGCCCGTCGAGTGAGATGCACCCTGTACACTGCTACGCAAATCAGGATCTACCCGGATCGAGGGGCAGGGCGGAGGCAGATCGGAATGTATAGGTATGGCGGAATTTTGGCTTTTTTTATATCGCAATTTGTAAACAGCGCTTATTTGTAAACAACCACCGTTTTTAGAGAGGTATTTTAGATAACAATCGATATTTAGAAATGTTTTGACACCCTGGAAATACTACCACCGAGTACGTCATTGTTGCAACTTGCAACTGCGTTAATACGCCTGGCGGTGACTGCCTCATACTCTTTCAGATATTTAGCAATAAACTAAAGAAACCTGTTATTTTTAAGCTGTTATTTTAAGCTGTTTTTTATATATAACTATAACAGTTTCAACTGTTATCTAAAAATAACAGTTTTGCCCATCACTAGTTTGCGATCGTGATTTTGCTTTACTTGATAGGGAAAGGCGTACCGGTAACGCCGCAACAGCACACCGTCGCATTTCTCTCACTCCGACTTAATAAGATCTCTATGCGATTTACTTTCGATCCAATTCAGCCTATTTTGAATACGGACCCAAAAGTAACAGTTGCCAGCACGGTATACCTGATATAACATTGAATACGAGCTTAGGATCTTTAGATACGACTACTCTATCACTTACTGATCAATAGGTATTAAGTTAGTGTAGTACTGTTCATTGTTATATGAGGTCCAAACATTACGTTCGCTTCTGCTTCTTGCTATCATATTTCCTCCAGTATTATCACCATTAAATAAAATGCCTAAATGTGAATAGTACATACTGTGTCCCATAAATGGCAACTGAAAATGGAAAAAAAAATATACAGGGTGGTCCGAACTGTATTCCAGAAACTTGGGTAGCATATTCTGCAGATAAAAATAAGTAAAAAAGTTCGTATAAATGTATGTCCTAAAATGCTTAGTTTCGGAGATAACAGGGTGTAGAAATTTCATTTTAATTTCGATTTTTTCCAAATAATTTCTGAAGTAACGTCAATATTTGGATGAAAATTGGTGTCTGGGAGTTTTTTGATATGGGAAATTTGATTTTCATGTCAATATGAGTCCTACTTGTAGAGGGCGTCGGGCGCCACCTACCCATGTAGGTTTTAAACTGTTTTAAAACTACTGAGTGAAAAAATATACATTTGCGTGATTTTTTACGTAAAAAATGTCTCTTGGTAAAAATCGCTACGAGCAACCGTTCTTAAGGTATTTAGAATGATTTGACTAAACATAAACATATTGAGTAGATAGTTATTTGACTGAAATGATAAATTTGAAAACTTTATTTTTTTAATTAATCATAAATTTTTCTTCGAACAAATGATGATAAAACAGTTTCTGTTGAATTTTTGGCACAAAAACATTTCAAATTTATGATTTCAGTATAATAACTATTTAGTCAACATGTTTAATTTATGTCAATAAAGAGATATTGATAATTGCGATTCCAAATATCTCGAGAACCATTACTCGTAGCGATAGTTACTTTTTAACTCGTTACCAAGAGACTTTTTTAGGTAAAAAACGTCGTAAATATATATTTTTTTACTCACTAGTTTTATACAGGTACAGACGAAGAGTTATTAATCTTCAAACTAATTAAAAATATGTAGGTGACGTCCTCTACAAATAGGTGTCATATTGACATTAAAATCAAATTTCTCATGTCAAAAAACACCTAAACGCCAATTTTCTTCTATATTGACGTTACTTCGGAAATTATTTGAAAAAAATTGAAATAAAAATTAAATTGCTACACCCTGTATCTCCGAACCTGAGCATTTTGGACATACATTTATACGAACATTTTCACTTATTTCTATCTGCAGAATATGGTGCCGAAGTTTCCGGGTTCGGACCACCCTGTAGATGATGTTTCTGTCTCTTGGGGGGGCGCGTCCATTAATTAGGTGAAGGAATCCCCCAATGGGGTGGGGTGTTGTAAGCCTAATATCACGTGAGGGAGAGAGACCCCTGTTTCGGAAACTACAACGTCATTTTTTCCTTTTAAAAAAATACCGTAAAATGGGGTGAATAGAAACATAGGGGTGAATAGAAACAAAATTTCTGAAAAAAATCAAATCACGATTAAAAATATTCAAAGTAAAAAGAGTCGACATATCTAATTTTTCTATCATTGGTAATACACAATAAAATGTAAAAACTATATTTTTATCTGTGGCAGCACTGTTTCTGTCAATCAGCTGATCAATAAATGTGAGATCGATTTATCACCTATTTTGTATGGCGCGAAAACTTTATAAATAAAATATTTATTTTATAAAGTGATACATAAGCTGGTACATGTAAGTTGTCATATTATATGTATTATTAATTATTGTTAAACCTACTTAAATATGTAATAATTTACTGTTTCTAATCACCTTGTTGGAAGTAGAATAGATAAAAACATTAACATCAATGTGTGTTTCTATTCTCCCGAATAGCAGGTGAATAGAAACACAAAAGTTATTTTTATTTAATATTTATATGCATATTTTTCAAAAATCAAATTATATGTATACGCAAAGAACAAACAAAGACCCATGTTTTAAAATATTCGGGAACATAATACCACATTTTTATCAACCGGTATATCGCTAATAGCCTACGAAACTGTTTCTATTCACCCCATTTTACGGTAATGTAAAAATGTGACAAAATCGTATTAATTTAAGGTAAAACATATCTTCGTTAAAGAACATAAAACATATCTAGACTAAAATATATCTTCGAAATCTGACAGAATTTTTCTGTATATTAAAATCAATGAATACATGTAAACATATTTAGTACTGATATATATCGAAAATGTGCTACCCTATTCCTTATTGGTTGAAAAATTATGACGCGCAATACCTAAATTTCACAAGACGAGCTACTGAACTTCTGTGCACGAGTAACAACGGTTTAGAGTGGCTAAATCAGAGCGAAAGTGAAGGAACAGATGATTTTATTGAAAATCACATGGATTTGTTGGTACCAACAGTCTTTCTTGGGACCGTGCTCTAGTCTCCACAGATGTCATCCACAGAATTAGAATGAATGTTCCCTATTAATTTTAGTAGTTCCTATTTAAGTATTAATTAATGTTGTAGTTAGCTCTGATTAGTCTCAAATACTAGTCTTGCCAATATATAGAAAGAAGCCAAAGCAAGAGTAATGATATATAAAACAACCCTAGAGTTTCCAACTGGCAAAGGAGTACGACAGGGAGACGCGGGTTCCCAAAGCTGTTTACAGCAACACTAGAACAAATCTTCCGTCAACTGGACTGGACCAACAAAGGATTAAAAATAGATGGAGAATATCTTAACCATTTAAGATTCGCTGATGACATAGTCCTAATTGCCTATATAATATTGCCTAATAGTCCTAAAGAACTACAAGCACAAATTAATGAACTAAATACAGCCAGCAATAAAGTGGGTCTCAAAATGAACTAAAGTAATGTAGAACGAACTAGTGGAAAGAAAAGACATTCTAATAAATAACACAACATTGGAAGAAACAAATTTAAGAAATACATTAAAAATATATTAAAATCTAACATTTCTAATGAGTATTTAAATAGTTTAGTTTCTATAAACATTAAAATAAACTGTAGGCCAATAAATAAACAAAAATATTTCATAATATCGTAACAACTAAATGTTCGGACACTTTAAAAAATAACTGTTCTAATATGGCGTTACATCGGCATGAACTTTTGCAACCAGTGCATGTCTGTTTGGCATTGTTTTTATTAATGATTGACAGATCGCCAGAGTAAACATTTTGCCATAATTCACTTAATATCATCGTCAAATGGGCAACGGTTTCTTGGGGATCGTGGCACAATTTTGGTTTGTTTTATGTCTCGATAACATTAAGGTCCGGACTGTGCGAAGGCCATGAGGGGACCTTGATGTTCATGTCCCTAAACTATTTTTTAGTAGTTTTAGCCATATGGCATGCCCCGCCATCCTGTTGGAATATAAAATTCATATCCTGGTAAAGGTCACTCGCACTTGGCACAAAACTGTTTTTCAAAATTTCTTAAAATTTTACACATTAGTTGTGCCTTTCTACCACCTCATACCTTCCTAGACCCATTGCCGACATAAACTCTAAAGGCATAATGTCTTTAGGAAATTCCACTGTCCATCTTTCATAAAGATCATGCATGCGTGCAGATGTAATCCTAGAACTTGCAATTTGCGATTAGAATTATCAACGTCGGATTGGAACTTCTGATGTCATAAACTACAAAAATGACATTAAGGTAAAATATTTAATTATTTCCCAATCCGACGCTAATAATTCCAATCGTAAATGGCAAGTGCACGGATTACATGTGCACATGAGCCACTTTAATATCGATATAATTAACACCGCTAGAGTGTCTATTTGATAAAGATTGACTCAAAAGGACAGTAAAATTTCCTAAAGGCATTACGATTTGAAGGAGTACGTCCAAAATAGGCCCAGAAAAGTATGAGGTGGTTGAAGGCATAATTGATGCGTCAAAAAATCAAAAAATTTTGAAAAATAATTTTTAATCTGGCGTATGTCAATTATTAATAAAAACAATGCCAAACAGGCTTGCAGTGGTTGCAAAAGTTCATGCCGATGTAACGCCATATTAGAACAGTTATTTTTTAAAGTATCCGAACATTTAGTTGTCACGATATTGTGCAATCTTTTTGTTTATTTATTGGCCCACAGTTTATTTTAATGTTTACAGAAACTAAACTATTTAAATATTCATTAGAAATGTTAGATTTTAATATATTTTCAATCTATTTCTTAAATGTAAATAATTCAGTAAATGAAAATAAAAATGTTTAATAAATTTTTGTTTGTCCGAACAGTTAGTTGTTAGGGCTCGTATTTTGGACAACTAATACATAGTTAGGAATATCTACTATCAGAAATCAACAGAAGAAATTATGTTAGCATGGAGTGCTTATGGAAGAAACCCAATCATATTCAAATCTAGATTGCCACTCTATCAAAAGAAGAAAACATTCGACCAATAAGTACTACCAGTCATGCTCGATGCAAGCGAAACCTGGACACTTAAAACGGACATCATAAGAAAACTGCAGGTCGCACAACGCTCAACGGAACGAAATATGCTGGGAATAACCAGGAGAGACCGCAAAAGAATAGAATGGATACGACAAAAGATCCAGGTAACAGATGCCATCCACAGAGTCAAATGCCTCAAATGGTAATGGGCAGGACACTTGCCAAGAAGAATAGACAACAGATGGACCACAAAAATTACAGCATGGTACCCACGAGGAATTAAGAGACCTAGAGGAAGACCGAACCTGAGATGGAACCATGATATTAGGAAATTAGCAGGAATAACTTGAGACCGCAATAGCCAACAATAGACAACAATGGGCCCAACTACAAGAAGAGTATCTGAATATGTGAGGGAGGCTACACCATAATTGGAAATGGTTGAATAAGCTGGAATTTATGATGATGATTGTCAAACTATAGCTCGAGTTATCAACAACATGCTAAGGAACCGATATATCCAAGTATTTCAGGGAGAGAGCACAAGTAAACCTAAAAAACTTAACAACGGCTTACCCCAAGGCTCCGTTCTCGCCCCTCTCGTATTCAACTTATACATCTCTGACCTACCAGATACGCAATCTAGAAAATTTTGTTTTACGAGACGATATAGCCATAGCAACGGAATATGAATCGCTATATCAAACCCAAGAAACGCTTACAAAGGATCTCGCATCCTTGAATGCCTATTTTATAAAATGGAGACTTCAACCCAATGCAAATAAGACAGAAGTGGCTACCTTCCATCTTAATAACAAGCTGGCGAATACTGAAATAAGCGTCCAGTTTGGTAGCACCACTCTGAGTAATAACAAATATCCAAAATATCTGGGGATTACTCTAGACCGTACACTCTCATTTCGAAGAAAACACCTAGAAAATGTTGCTGGGAAAATCAGAACACGAAACAACATTATACAAAAACTTTGTGGTACTTCGTGGGGTGCAAAAGCAACAATACTTCGGATCTCCGCCCTTGGTCTGGTATTCAGTGTGGCAGAGTATTGTGCACCCCTGTGGTTGAATAGCCACCACACAAATCTCGTAGACAGACAGCTGAACAACACCATGCGGCTGATTACAGGGACAATCAGATGCACCTCTAGTTACTGGCTTCCAGATCTGAGTAACATCCTACCTCCAAATCTACGCAGAAACGAGGCTCTTCTTAGAGAATTTGATAAAATAATAGCTATCCCAACGCTACCTGTTCATGAAACACTTCCTGCTTTACAGGTGAATAGACTTAAGTCGAGGAATCCAACTTTGCGAACAGCTGAACAACTAAAAAGCAGTAACTACAATTCTCGAGAACAGTGGCTTCAGTTATGGAGAGAAATGGCCGATGCGCACCTATACTCCTGGTTCAAAAATAACTATTGCCAGACACCGGGTACCGATCTAAACCGGAAAACATGGTCAACTTTGAATAGGATACGCTCTGGCCATGGAAGATGTGCGGATTCTCTTTATAAGTGGGGAAAAATACCTTCCCCAGAATGTGATTGCGGATCCCCTCACCAAACCATCCATCACATAACTAGAGAGTGCAACCTACGCGCTTATGGTGAAGACTGGAGGAACTGACTTCTGGAGGCTTCTCCATCAGCTTTGGAATGGATAGAGCATCTAGATGTTAATATATAGTGTTCGTAAATACGTTTTTTATGTTGTCTTTTTATAATATACTTGTTTTTTTTTATATTTACATTGTAATGTTTTCATTTACATTGTAGTTTATTTTATGTCTATGTTTAAGTGTCTGGTTTTCTTGCATGTATATGAGCCGTACGATAAATAAATAAATATGATGATGATGATGATAATGACGTCTTAATAAAAATAATAAAGTAAATTGTGTTTTTTAAATAAATCCAACGCATTTATTTATACTCAAAATACAAATTTGGAAAGATCTCACGTAAGATTAGGTGTGGGGGGAGGAGGTCGAGACATATCTCACGACATCACACCAAACAATCCTCAAAAGCACCTCACGTAATTAACGGATACCCCTTTATTTTATCAATTACCCAAATTGCTATAAATATCGCCAAAAATAGTAGCCATTTAAAATTGGTACGCTTCCTGTTGATGGATCTTTTAAGTATGTCATCATCTTGGACTGTCGATTCTGCAGGAAGTTCTTCAAACCCCACCAACTAAAAATAAATTAGGAATTTAAAGAAAATTAAATATCTGCAAAAAATCCTATGGGTATTTCGCCACAAAATCTACAAAATAAAATAGTTGTTTTTTGTAAACACTGCTGCGTTAATCCAACGGTGACTAATTGTCAGCAGTGGCTTACTAAAGCCGCGTCCAAGCTACTCGAACAAAACGTTCGGTCGCATCGGTCCCGAGGACTGAGGTGCGGGGAAGAATGCGACAACCAGTTTGCTCTATAGATCTAGGATGCGTTTAGGTAGTCGCTGTTTTTTCGAGTGCGCGGATTTCGAGTGCAAGCATTTTATTAAATAAATTAACCGGTAAACAGTTTAAGAACTTTTGTCGTTGAAGAATCAATATTTAGCAGGCGGAGGGTTACAGGGGTCTTTTGGTAGATTATTCGTTATAGTATATTTTTAAGACCTGTATTCAGTTTCAGCCGATTCTCCAGGTGTTTCTGAAAAGGGGCTCACTTTTTTATTTTTTCAGATAATATAACGAAATTTGGTTTGTTAGTACATGACATAAATCGGGATTGATTGACGTATTCAATTACCTTCGGTCGCTTTCTGTTTCACCGGAAATGACTACAACTTTGTGTTTTTTGATCGTATCCTAAGTACTTTTTCCAATTACCCTTTAAATCAAAAGTTGTTGTCATTTCCGGTGAAATAAGTAGTGACCGAAAATATTTGAAAACGTCGATCAATCCTTTTTTATCTAAAAAATTAAAAAAGTTATAGAAGTAACACCCGGTATATTTATTTCTAAAAATGTAATGGTAAAATTTCATTTCCAGTGTCAAACTTCCTATTAAGTAGTAATTTTTAATTTCAGAATCCCATAATAATTCCGGTTTTTAATAAAAATAATCATAAAGGTCTTTATTAACAAAAATGAAATTATATGGACGAAGTCTAGCTATATAGCTATTCACACTCAACCCACTATAAAATTAAAATTATAAAATCTTTTCTTTGTGTAAACAAATTAGTTGTAAAAGTTTTTCACGATCCCAGTCAATAACTGCGTCTCCCATTGTCGAATACTCGGTAAAAAATAAAAATCACAGATGGACGCCCGAAATTAAATGAGACCCTCCCAAGTGTCCGGTACAATGTCCGCCGAAATGCACGCCCAAATACGTTTAAATTTACCTATACCGCGGCCTCCCCATAATGCCGCAACCGCACATACGGCATTTGGCGATCTCCGATCGGGGCTTCGCCGATTTCCTATGTGGGTGGATGGGGAAGTCGGAGTTCGGCGACACGATCGGCGACGAGAACGAGCGCTCGTCTCTATGTTGTTGCTATCAGAGCCCACATGTGTGGATGGAAAGGCGAAGTCCGATCACGAGCGCTCCGTAGTTGACGAGCGCTCGGAGTTCGCTAAATGCCGCATGTGCGGTTCCGGCATAAGAGCAATGAGAGAATTTATGTCCCAGAATTGAAGGACAGAAGATCGAGTTTGACATAAGTCCATCCTTGTTCAGTAGCTGGATGTAATGCACATGCGCCGAAATGCTACTTTTCTATTGGCCGAATGGTGTCGAGATGGGTTATTGATTTATTTTTGGACGCATCGTCGGTGTGGATTTTGTCATGATTTTGTCATTTTGTTTTCAGTTTGGACTTGGGCAGTCGCCATTAGTGTTTTCTCTTTCTGTGTTTTCCACGTATACTGTGTTTTCGTTTGTATTTTAATCTTTGTGCGTTTATTGACAATTTTGTGATTTAGTTTTAAAGACTTTTGCTGTAGTTTAATTAATAGAACAATGGGAATGGGCTACTGCTTTTTGTGTGGTAGAAGCCAACTAACCAAATTAATAATAGAAATTTTTCTCGAAGTTCGTTTGTATCATGAAAGCAAAATCAGAAATGAAAGGGATGTTAATATAAGATAAAAATATACGAAACTAATTTTATTCAAAAATCAATAATTATTAAAAGCATTATATTTAGTCTTACTATTTTAAAATAAAAAAGACATTATAATGTAAAGACTAAAAATAGAGACTACATAAGGCTAATTATAATGCTTACACAGTTACACAGAGACTGTCTTATTGTAAATTATTATTGTTTTTTTTTTCATAATATAAAAGAGTATTTATAATGCAACAATGTAAATAATTATATTTTCTGTATCTAGCTTGATTTATGTATAAACTTAATATGTACATACTTTTAGTTATATTTGTTTAATAAAAAATATGTTAATAATAAAGAATTACTTTTGTTTCATTTTAAACCAGGACTGATGTTGATTCTTGATCATAAATACCATGGACAGTAAAAGAAACAATAGACAGTAAAAAATGTACTGTTAGACTTTGTTTCGCTGCAATTTTTAAGTCGAGTGAAATAGATATGCAATTTGTACTACAAAGTTTTTAAGACAGTTTCTTAATTGAGGTTTTACTAAATTATTTTTTGAATTTTATAAAAAGTGAAATAGATATGCAATTTGTACTACGAAGTTTTTAAGACAATTTCTTAATAATTGTGGTTTTACTAAATTATTTTTTGAATTTAAAAAAAAAATATCGTACCTGTCACTTTTTTTCATTCGTTTTATTTAATAATAATTGTCTAACACAACAAAGTCTACTTAGAAAGATATGATATAAATATAAATGAGTTCATTAAAAAATGGTCTAATTGAATTAATACCTAAATAAGCAAAAAGTATCCCCTCATAAAACAAGAAATTAAGGAGTTCAGTAAAAGGATTGCAACTATATATTTTATTCAGTAAATTTTCATAATAGTATAAAAAGTATAAAAGCACAATCTCTAAAACGACAATATGAATAATGTATTTTAAGATTTAACTCGAATTTCAGTGAAAAAACTATATTGATATTAAAACATTTTAATACTTTCAGAATACTAATTACATACCATAAAATAGGAGTTTTTACGATGCGGAAAGCCTATCTAGAAAAAGAATTTTAGAAATCAGCAATGGGATTCTGTAAGCTCTGTAGCAAAACATTTCCTATCGAGCCTATGCTATTTGTATACGATTGATGAGTCACTAGACAGGGAAATGTTTACAGAATCGCACTGCAGATACCTATTACGCTACTAGGAGCCCCCCATTGTGAGACAGATATAAAATAATTTTTATATACCTATTCCATAGCCTATTCTTTTAAATGTCTGTAATATTTATAATAAACTTATTTTAACGAGTAGAAGTATTGCACTAGCATCAAAATTAACACTACTTGTAAAAAACTGTTGCTCCTTGAGTTTGTAATAGATATAAACAAAATAAACATTCGAAAATAACTAAATCGAAGATATCTGAAAACTTTTGGTCGAAAAAGTGTTTTGCCATAACATGTTGGATACGATTAAAATATCTCAATTGATTAATATGCGCATAATGTTACATTATCAAACTTATTTGATTTCAGAATATTTAACAAAAAGCTTCCAATTTTTCAAAAGAATTAATTCAATTATTAGAACGTCTTTAACCTCAACTTAAAATAAATAAAACCAAAACAAAACATATCGTATGATTTGGAACTGTCCAATCAAAGTGCTTACAGATCGAGCAAGCGCAGAAAACCTCCTCCCAAACAAGGATAGACTTATGTAGGAAATGCATTGACATTCTATAGCCATCCTTCAACATCGGGACAGGAATTTAAGCGGTACTCTTCGTATAGTAAATTTAAACGTATTTGTGCATGCCGTTCGCTCCTTTTGATTTACCGACACCCGTCGGAAAAAGAACGCGCGCGCTCTAGCATAGGCAGATGCACGCTCTGGCGTACAAGCTAACCGTTCGGCGCTCCGCGCTCTTTAACAGGCCTAAGCTAGCTGTACTTGTTGGCTTTATTATTTATAAATCTACCTATCTCACAATTTTCACTTAGTATCTGTTTAATTATATATGTTCGCGAACATTTTATTCGAGTAGCTTGGACGCGGCTTAATAAACAAGTTTGCCTAACGGACAAAAAAATGCTTAACGTTTCAGAAAATATATCTCTTTCCGTCGTCGGAAGCAAAAAAAATACAAAGAACAAAGAAAAAAACTATTTAAAATATCTAACGCAACTATTCGAGAACACTTTAGTTTTTTTTAACAGATACGTCTACAAACACCGTTGACGTTCTGTAAAATGACATTATATCAAGTTAAACTTAATATAAAAAAAAATAATAAATTAATGAATGGTGATAAATGTTATATTGATGAAACATCTAGACCCTTAAATGTTCGAATTAAAGAACATAAAAATTATTTATGTATTAAGAAAGTAAAATAACTCGGCCATTTTGTATAACAAAGAAAAAGTGGTTGTTGTGTTACCTCTGACGATGTTAACAAACTCGATGTTGTTCCCATACTGACTTATGAGCACTGTGCGGTATTCTATAAAAAAAACAATGGTTTGTTAAAAATTAATTAAATATGTTCATAACTCTAATATTGCTATCAAAATCTGTGTGTAGCACCTTTAGTTTCATAAAAAAAAGTAGCACTGTGATCTGAAAACCGCATATTTGTATCTCTACTAGGGGATTCAATCCCGGACAATTTTATGATGTCGGGATCCCGGGATTCTTAACCCGGAATCTCGGGATCCCGGGATTCCAGTAATAATGTTATCAATGTTACTTTCAAAGAACATTTTATTGTAATTAACGTTAATTAGGTAAAACAAAAAAAAAGAGTCTTTGGAACACAAAAATAAGTAAATATTCTTCTTAAACAACATTAAACAAAAATTAAAAATATCAAACAAAACAAAAAAGAAACTGGACTGATAATATTATTCCATATTTTTAAAAAAATAGCGCAAAAATATAATATTGTCTATTGTGTCATCTCCCATAGCAGAACGAAATTTTGTAACTATCCAGCCTACTGACGAAAAACACCTTTCCGATTCTACACTTGTAGGCGGTATTGTACTTAAAAAATCAAAAGCTAGTTGTAAGTTTGTTCCACGTTGTCCACTCTTCTGGAACGTATCCATTTCATTTTTTATTTGGGCTTCCAAGTTTTCAGTTTTTGTTACTGGTGGCACTGTCATTCGATTTGACATTTCTTTGGTTAACACTTCATCTAGCCTCTCCGACACGTCATCATTTAAGGCCTGGTACCTGTTCTGAATAGTAGCAATTGGCAAATCTTCATCCGATTCCGAACAATCTGAAGAATCTAATATGATTTTACTTGTTATATCTAGTCGTTTTAAGAGGTTTGCTACTTCTTGTTTCAAAAGTTTTTTATTATTCTGGGAATCACCGACGTATCGCTTGACGGCGGCGCGCGGCGGCGCGGGCGGCGCTATAAGGAATTCAACTAAAAGGGTTTTTGCATATACAACCTTAAAAATAGCGTTTTACTATATTATATAAAATCCCGGGATCTGTTATTATTTTCCCGGGATCCCGGGATTGAAAAAATCGGATAAAAACCGAAATCCCGGGATTGAATCCCCTAATCTCTACACATAAGCGAGATACCCTGTAAAACACACGAAAATGGGACACCCTGTACTGAAATGGAATGTTTGTTTTCACTTATTTGATGGTATCATATGTGCCAACTGCATAATGATAATATTTAAATTTCCCAATCTGATTTAAAATTCTATATTTGCACTATAACAGATTAGATAAAATAAAACATTTACTAACACAATATTTGATTTTTGGAAAAGAGCTGAAGTAATAAAATTAATTAAATTGGTTTAATTTATTGTATTGTACTATTAAGAAGTCTTCACTGTACTTTCAAAAAAAATGGGCAAATTACAATAAATTAATCTATACTAATATATAAAATCCTTAAGTGACTGACATACTGATTAATCACGATCCTGCTCAAACCACTCAACGTAAGAAGCTCGATTTTGGCATACCGGTTGATTCTAGGGTGTAGAGGTTCGATAAGAAGGGATTTTTCGAAATTCCAGTTCCAAGAGGGTGAAACCACCCCTCAAATATTACAAAATTTTTTATTTAAAAAACGGTCAAGTTTCCGAAAAAACGCTTAAACACGTATATTTTATTTTGTTTTTTACATATTTTAAGATTTTTTAAAAATGTATACAGAGTGTTTCGAAAAATCTGGTCATTGATTAATCACGATCCTGCTTAAAACGCTTGACGTAAAAGGCTGATTTTTGGAAAACAGATTGACTTTAGGGTGTAGAGGTTCGATAAGAAGGAATTTTTTGAAACACGAATTCTAAGGGGGTGAAACTATCCCTCAAATATTAAAATATTTTTTATTTAAAAACCGGTGAGTTTTTCGGAAAAACTCTTAAACACGTATATTTTATTTTGTTGTTTTATATATTTTAAAAATTTTTATAAATTTATACAGGGTGTTTCATAAAATATGACCATTGAGTAATCACGATTCTGCTTAAACTGCTCAACGTTTAAGTTGATTTTTGGCAAACGGATTGACTGTGGGGTGTAGAGGTTCGATAAGGAGGGGTTTCTCGAATCTCAAATTCCAAGAGGGTGAAAACGCCCCTCAAATATTACAATATTTGTTATTTAAAAAACGGTTAGTATTTCGGGAAAACGCTTGAACAAGCATAATTTATTTGGTTTTTTACATATTTTGAAATTTTTTAAAAAATCATACAGGGTGTTCCAAAAAGTTGGTAATTTCGTAACCACGATTCTGCTTAAACAGCTTGACGTAAAAAGCTTATTTTTGGCAAGCGGAGTTTTCGAAAGTCAAATTCCAACGAGATGAAACTACCCCTCAAATATTACCAAGTTATATAATAATATCGCCACATTGTTTTTTCGCATGCTGACATAAATGTGAGAAAATTTTATCCAGTTTGTATGTTAATGGAAATTCTTGCTTTGCTTTATCATTACCAATTACCATTACAAATGATTAATTCGACGCGAACGAAGTCGCTGGTACACGCTAGTACAATAATATGAATAAGTGATATTAAAAGTTTTAAAATTTTATTGAAATAAAAAATAGTTTAAAAATGTCGAAACCTACATATGTATGTGTCCGATTCATCTCTCCAAAAAAATCCTGTATGGGTATTTTGCCACTGCAAGAAAATCTACAAAATAAAATAGTTATTTTTTGTAAACACTGCTGCGTTAATCCAACGGAAACTACTTGTCAGCATTGGTCTACAGATAAACAAATTTGCCTAACGAACAAAAAAATGCTTAACGTTTCGGAAAGTTTATCTTTTTCCGTCGTCGGAAGCAAATAAAAATACAAAAAAGAAAAAACTAGTAGAACGTCATTAGAGAACGTTTAGCAAAGAAAAAACTATTTAAAATATTTAAAATTCAACTATTCGAGAACACTTTAGTTTTTTTTAAACAGATACGTCTATAAAAACCGTTGATGTTCTGTTAAAATGACATTATATCCAAGTTAAACTTCAAAATTAACAATTATTACCTGATAACAATTACTTAATAAGGTAAAACCAAAAAGCCCCAAACTTTCCCTATAATTATTTAAAATTTTTAAGTATGTTATGTTTATTTATGTTTTGTTCTTTAAAATCAAAGAACCGATTGCCATACATTACTAACATATATAACTGTGAATGTTAACAAAAACATGTATAGCACAAAAACTAGTGTGTTGACGTCGCACACTGGGGCAGAATTGGCAATTTATATACAATAAGTATTAAAAACTAAATCTTCCTAATTCAGGTAAAATTAATGTATTGTTGTAGGCTATATGCCGCTGAATATTATATAATAATATAGGCGCTGAATCGACAGTGGTTGCTTGGAAATAGCCTTTGTTTTTGCGTATCAACTAAAATCGTTTCGATTTTCTTGAGCCGGCCTTTCAATTTACTCCTATTTTATATTTGATTTTTTAATAATAAGTTCATATTTATTTTAATAGCGACATTGTTGTTCGCTCGGATCGGGTAAGTAAATTAATATTCCTCTGGTTTTGATCTATATTACGCGATTATTCGAAGACACAAGAAATAATGTAAGCCAAAAATTTGCATCCACTTAATTAAATTTGAAAATCACAAAGTAGTTTAGTTATGAATCTTCATACATCCGCCTGATTTTGACATATATTATTGTTCCTCCATTCAAACAATTTAATATTATAACGAAAATTTTTGCCCGTTCTTGCCCCATTGTAAATTATTTTAAGTTTAATGAACCTATGAATAGTCGAAAAATTGATCATAAATTATCGCTAAATTTATTCTCGCTAAGTTTTCTTCGGCAAATATTGACATTTCTCTGCTATTTTCTTGTGGATTTGTGGTATAAAAATAGAAAATGGATGAAATACTATATTACGTAATGAATACTGTAAAAAATATATTACGGGCGAATAGAAAAGTTGCACATAAGGCGTGTGGTGATGGGTGTAGTATTGTATGAGCGCATTACTATATTTCTGCAACAAGATTTACGTACTAAACTTTACCTACGACCACAAATACTGCAGAAACATTTTCGTTATTAAAGTTTTTTAAATGTTTGGTATACAGAGTGGCACCTCTCATACTACTCATACTATATGGAAGCTCCAAGAAGAATGTCTGAATGATTGTTTACATTGAAATGCAATTTTGTAAGTAAGTGTAAGTCAATTTAGAGCCATTTTTTAAAAATATATAAAGTTCTATAAGATGTCCCCAAAAAAAGTTACACATCAAATTTGTATTTTTTTAACGGAACACCCTATACAGTGTGTCCCTGAAATAAGTGCAAGTATTTTAAGGGGTGGTAGATCTCGATAAAAGAAACATATTTTTTCATTATCATTTTTCAAATAAGTCTAAAATAACGGAGTTACCTATTTTACTTTGAAAATTTCAAAAAAAAAAATTTTTTTGCTAAAATTTTGAGAACCACTGGATCTTTTCTGGATTTTCTTTCTTGTAAATTTAATCTACTACCTATGTTGCCATATTATCAAGAAATTATGTTTTTTTACTAAAAACTAAAATAATTTCCAAACATTCCGAATTTTCAATTTTTTTCCGCGAAAAAACCTCATAGGCATGTTTCTAGGGTTGAACTATACTACCAGTTATAATACTTGCATTTATTTCTGGGACACCCTGTATATTAATAGATTTTCTGATTCTAGAAAGAAATAAGGTGAGTTTCTTAGAGAAGCATAAGACTAAAATGTAAGGTTTTGATATATTTAACATTTTCTAAAAATGAAGACTACATTTTAAACTTCAGTAAATGCTACCTGAATTGGAATTTCTAGTCTAATATATAGTTAAAATAATCGTTGTAAACTTTCGAAAAATGAAGTGATTTTTTTTGTTTACCCGTCCTGTATAATAGTTATACTGCTAAGCACTAGCCATATTTTGATAAAAGTTACTTTATAACCTGCTGAAATTAAAGTAATAAAAA